TTTTCGAGAGGCACTGCCGTGACTCTCGCAAAAAAAAACATGTTTTTTGCGCCAAAAGAAATTTCGAATTTTTGTATTGAAAAGCTAGGGAAGACCCGTGGAAAACCAAAACGTCGAAAAAAACCCAGAAAAAAATCGTTAAAAAAAATCCAAAAACGCGTATGGAAAAATAAAAAAATAAAATCCAGAGGAAGCGTCCAGAGCGTGACACGTAGTGAATGGCTGAGAGCGCGCCAAGTGACGCTGTTCGTTGCGAGGCTTCCGAAGAAGCGCTCGTTAATTAGTTACTCTCGGTTTTGGCTACCAGGTGAACAAATTTTACCAGGAGGAATTTCAAAACGAGGGACTGCAAACGATAGGCCCGGCCAGCGGTCCGGTTCCAGCGGCACCTCGGCCCGCGGCCCACCTACCACATCACACCACCCTACTCGGCGGTGGCACCGGAGCACGCCGCAATCCCCGAGCTTCGCTGGGGCTGGGAGGGGAGCCTTCCCGTCGCTTGACGCGTTTCTCGATCGTTCCCCGTGGCGGCGGGCTGCGCACGCCGTACCGATCATTTCGCTGGTCTCTCCCGCCGCGGGTCGCCGAAGAGGGGGGGAGGAGGAGGAGGATGCCCGTGGAAGGCGCCGTCGGGATCAAGGGCGAGGAGATGGAGCAGGCCTCAGCGACAACTCCTACCACCAGGTACAGAATGCCCCGCGGCATTTCCTTTGCTGGGTTCGTCCAATTTCGACATCCCCGTCCGGAACCCACCCCGTAGTTCCTTTTTAGCTTCGAATGAGGGTTTCTCGTGCTGGGGTTTTTGCGAGCTGTAGTTTGCGGCGTCGATTGCTTCAGGCATTTGGGGATTTTGGGCGGTGGAGATGAACCGTGGAGCAACCGAGCGTCGTGTGTTGAACTCTGGTCGATTTCAGGCAGACAATGTTGGCTGATACCGTGCGAATTCTGTTTAAGATGTGGCTAGAGTACTGAATTTTGTCTGAGAATGTCAACATGTTCCTCACTAAAAATATTGGGGCTATTTTTATACATGCAAAATTGAACAGCTTTGTCGTGAAAATTTGGGGAAATGGAACTAGTTGTACCTGTAGTATTCAAATGATTCCAGCAGTAGGGCAAACGGTATTCATGTTTGGAACTTGTAAGTTCTGGGAAGTCTGACAGGATATCTTGTCCTGATAGATTTCTGAAAGTTGTTTGCATTCTTACTGAATTTGTAGCTTAACAGAGCAGATAAATGCAGAGCAAGTCCTTCTTACAGTGCCTACAAAATGCATTGGCTCCTAACTCCTAAGATTCAAGTATTCAACAACTGAACTCGGTCAATCCAGCGAGTGCGCTTGCAAATATGCATTTCCAATAACAAACCACGACTAGTTGAATATATGTATGCAGTTCGACTGGCTACCACTTCAGAACTCAGCTTCAAGCATAGAACACCATTTTTTCGTATCTTCTAGCTCATATGCATGCTGATAATTGTTGGTTAACCATTTCTAGAACGCTGGCATGGTCTTGTTTATCACGGCTTGCATCGAGATCTGAGATGTGCATTTCGCTGTTTGGAACTTATAAGTTCTGGGAAGTTTGACAGGATATCTTGGCCTGATAGATTTCTGAAAACTGATTACATTGTCTACTGAATTTTTAGCTTAATAAAGCACATGATGCACAGCAATTCCTTGGTACAGTTCGTACAAAATACATTTGCTCCTAACTCCTAAGATTTAAGTATTCAACAACTGAACTCAGCCAATCCAGTGAGTGTGCTTGCAAATATGCATTTCCAATGAACAAACAACGACTAGTTGATATCTCTGTGCAGTTCAACTAGCTACCAATTCAGAACTCAGCTTCAGGAATAGCACAACATTTCTGCATATCTTCTTGCTCATATCCATGCTGACATTTGTTGATTAACCATTCCTAGAACACCGGCATGGCCTTGTTTATCGCAGTTTGCAAGACATCTGAGATGTGCATTTCGCTCTTTGCGTGCAGTACGATCAGGACAAAGCGAGCTCGTCCCAAGAGCAGTGCCACGCTGAGAATCAAGACTCCAGTGGCGTCTCCTCCTGGAGGGGAGGGTGGTCCGGAGGATAGGGACCACATGTACCGGGGTGTTCGGCAGCGCAGGTGGGGCAGGTGGGTCTCTGAAGTCCGTGAGCCCAACCGCGGCAAGCGACACTGGCTGGGCACCTTCGACACCGCCGTTGACGCCGCCCTCGCATACGACAGGGCCGCCGTGGCCATCTATGGCTCCCGCGCAATCGTCAACTTCCCATCTGCCTTCTTCATCTCCACCGCCCAGCCAGTGCAATGCCATTCCCCGTCTTCTTCTCCTGCCACTGCTGCCTCTGTCCTTACTGAGCATGGAGTGAAGCCGATGATGGCTGCTGCCTCTATCCTTGATGAGCATGAAATAAAGCCGGTGATCACCGCCTCTGTCTCCGATGAGCGTGAAGTAAAGCCAATGGTCGCTGCTTCTGTCTTCGGTGAACGCGAAGTGAAGCCAGTGGTCGCTGCTTCTGTCTTCGGTGAACGCGAAGTGAAGCCAATGGTCGCTGCCTCTGTCTTCCATGAGCGTGAAGTGAAGCCAATGGTCCCTGCCTCTGTCTTCGGTGAGCGTGAAGTGAGGCCAATGGTCGCTGCCTCTGTCTCCGGTGAGCGTGAAGTAAAGCCAATGGTTGCTGCCTCTGTCTTTGGTGAGCGCGAAGTGAAGCCAATGGTCGCTGCCTCTGTCTTCGGTGAGCATGAAGTCAAGCCGACGCCGGTGCACGGTGTTGGTGACGACACCTGGATCGCTCAGCATTGGGATGCTTCTTGGGCTGAGCGAGAGGAAGTTTATGCTGACTACCTCAAGGACATTGCCATGTATATTGATGTTGATGCTATCACTGAGAAACTGGTGTACCACCCCGGCATCTATGGTAAAGATTACCAGGTCGATGGGTTCGATGCTGAGTTCACCGTCTCGCCATTGTGGGAGCTGGGTGACTGAAATGGCAGCCGAAGGAGGATTTTTTTGCTGACTAGGGTAGCTTCGTTATGCTGGTAGCCATCCAGATCCTTTAGCTGAGCATATTACATACTTGATGTAGGTCAGGAGGGAGCCTTTCTCTGCACGTCTGCATAGCGTTATGTTTGGTAGAACTGTAATGATATATGTAGATGATCATGCTGTGCATCGAATCACCTTCTCTAATTCGGACATGATGGGCGTCAGAATCTATGTCTTAACATTGGGTAAACAACGGTCTGATGCTATAGTTCGTTGCTAGTAACTCCGAGTATTAGAAGTGCAAGCCATTATCTTTGTTAGATACTCCTCCGGCCAACGTTTTTTGACACTGTCAACGTTCTTATATGGGATGGAGTGTCAAAAACGTATGTTATGGGACCGGGGGAGTATATGTTACATGTGTTTACTTGAGGAATTGCTAGAACACTGTCACGTGCACCACCAGTCTACTACAAGCAAGTATTTCCCCATATCTAAGCCATGCAGCCAAGTGAGTGAGGACCCCACATAAATTCTAATCGTAGATTGTGTTTTAAATTCTCATGTAAACATACCACAACTTGATCTGCATGTGAGTGTAGTTTCATACAAGTTGCAAAATGCTAAACCACACAGCAAACTTGTGGGCTGGAGTAGAGCTACGGCGTGCGTTTTTCATGCTGATGATCTTGTGGGCGACAAAGATGGAATGCGACCCTGTGAACCTATTAGCATCGGGTTCTCTCGGGTGCAGAAGAAGATGGAGGTAATGCTGTTGAGATTAACATGACACAAGATGCACCTGATCAAATGTCCCAAGATATCTAATAGCGGTAAGTTTGTTGAAGAATGTTGAAATGATGAGAATTTGTGGAGTTTTGTGATGTGCTAGTCCTATGTAATGCTGTGAATTTGTTTAGGTGCCCCTTTTCTATGCAATGGTATTGGTCTTTGCAAATGGTTAGGCCATGTTGTAAATTATGTTCATGTACTCTCTTCTAGTCTTCACTGTGATGCGATGGATATTCACATGATCATTCTCTTATGTCCTCACACCATGAACCTGTCAAAGATTTTGTGTGATTTACTAGGGGTTCTACTATCCGCAACTTCCTCAAACTTGTGTTTACAGTGATTGACAATGTTGCAGAAGTAATTCACTCTAAATAGTTCGGCAATAACAGATGCAGCATCTGATTGTAATATCACAAAAGATATACAAGCACACATTCATTGCATCATTTGACTTTCACTTCACTAACCTAACAAATTCAACAAGCAACATACAAATGCATATCATCCTTATCCAAACAAGATCCTCACATTGCATCCAACCCATGTGCTAGCACACCATGGCCACCTGCAAGAACTACAACTGCATCCTTCTCTTTTGCACTATCCTCTCTACTCTCTATTATCCACATTCTCATTTGTGCCTTGTCTTGTGATCCCGTCGATGGACCGCCACGACCATTGCTGGAGCTCCGTTGCCTGCCAACAACATCTGCATGTTGCTACCACCATGACTAGCTGACCACCATCGCTGGAGCTCCCGTGCCGAATACCCAAGCAGACATGTTCCTTGGAGAACACGAGATACTACCACATTTTGTCAATGGATCCTTCTATGTTGGTTAGACTGCAAAAGAATACAGTACTTCAGTAGTACTGTATTTTTTTTTCCTGGCCTCTTTCGGAATCTCGAAGGACATCACACAAGTTGAGATTGCTCAAGGCCGAAATAAGGACTGTCCGACCTTCACGGGACAAATTCCTGGCTCACCATCTGCTAAGAAGTTTCTCAAAGCGGAATACTTGTCAGAGAAATGGATGTATTTTAGTTCTAGATACATTCATTTTTATCCATTTCAGCGACAAGTAATTCCGGACGGAGGGGGTATTTTGTACTAGTTCGGAGGCATAGATTTAGGCATAAGAAAATCCCAGACTTAGCTTTTAGCAAAACCATTTTGTGTTCCCTGAGAGAAGATTGCATGACATGCGCTTCAAATTTAGCATAATTGCTATTCTTGGACGCGAGATCGACCCGCCTAGATCGAACAATCCACTAAGCTTGCAGTTCCTAGCCACAAGAATCCAACTAAACAAGCTGAGCTCATATATATTCTCAAGGCTACCATGTTCTGAAACTCTTTTGACATGTCATTGTTTTCTCTGGTATTCGCCTCCTCCTCACATCCACCATGCAAACCGCCATGGAAGAAACAGCCTGACGAGGCCACGGTCGTCGGGCAAGAGGAACCACGGGCGACCGCGCCACCGCCAACGACGCCGGGCCGGAGGAATTGATGAGATGGAGAAGGTGGACTGCTATGTTGTGCCGCAGACCACGGGCACCAGCCGGAACATCTTCCAGGGCGGCAGCCCGCTGTCGTCGTCGCTGCCCCTCCTCGGCGTGCAGCTCGTCCTCATCGTCGTCGTCACCCGTGTCCTCTACCTCCTCTGCAGGCCGCTCAAGCAGCCCCGCGTCGTGACCGACATCATGGTACGCTAGCTCCATAATTTGACAAGATCATCGGCTTGAATCGATCTCTTGGGGAGGATGTGGATCGATGGAGAAAGTGTTTACTCAATTCGGTGCTGATTTCAGGCCGGCATTATACTTGGCCCGTCGCTGCTGTGTCGCTACGAGTGGTTCAAGCAGCTGGTGTTCCCGGCGAGGGGGGAGCCGGTGCTGAACACGGTGGCCACGTTCGGCCTCATGTACGTCATCTTCCTCATCGGCGTGCGGATGGACCCGATGCAAGCCCTCCGGTCCGGCAAGAAGGGCGTCACGATCGGCCTCTCCGGCTTCCTCATCGCGCTGGGCCTGACGGCGTCGGGGTTTTCCGGCGACGCTCTGTCCAAGGAGGAGGATCATATGTCGACGCGGCTCACGTTCCAGTTCGCGCTCGCGGCCACGCTCTCGCTCACGTCCTTCGCGGTGCTCTCGCCGATCCTCTCTGAGCTCAACCTCCTCAACTCGGACCTCGGCCGCATCGCCATGTCGGCGTCCATGACCACGGACGGCATCGCGTGGCTCATCATGGTGGGATACGTGCTCGCCGAGGCCTACCTCGTGTCCCCCGCCACGTCGCTCTGGGCCTTCACGTCGGTGGCGGCGCTCGTCGCCTTCATACTGCTGGTCGTGCGCCCGATCGCGCTGCTGGTGATCGAGCGCACGCCGTCGGGCAGCCCGGTGGACGAGGCGTACGTCTTCTTCTTCCTCCTCATCGTGCTCCTGGTGGGGCTCTACAGCGACATCATCGGGACCAACTCGTTCCACGGCGCGCTCATGCTGGGGCTGGCGATCCCCGACGGGCCGCCGCTGGGCACGGCGCTCGGCGAGAAGATCGAGGCCATGGTGACCGGGCTGATCCTGCCGCTCTACTACACCATGACCGGGCTCAGCACCGACATGTGGGAGATACACTGGGGGAGGCTGCAGTTGATCCTGCTCCTTGGGTGGTTCGGGAAGCTCGCCGGCGTCCTGGCGTCGTCGCTGTGCCTTGACATCCCGCCGCTGGACGCCGTGTCTCTCAGCCTCTTCATGAACTCCAAGGGCATCGTCGAGGTCATCACCTTCAGCTTCTTCGTCACCAACAAGGTGACTAATATAACTTATCTGAATCGATCGATCTCGCTAGTCACGATCCGGTGCGTACTGACATGCAAGACTGATTTTGCGGTTGCACGGGCAGCTGATCGACAAGCACATGTTCAGCGATCTGGTGTTCTCGTCGGTGATGATCACGGCGGTGTCGGTGCCGGTGGCGAGCTGTCTGTACGACCCGGCGCGGCGCTACGCCGTGTACAAGCGGCGCACGGTGCAGCACCTCAAGGCGGACGCCGACCTGCGGATCCTGGCGTGCATCCACGACGAGTCCCACGTCCAGGGCACGCTGTCGCTGCTGGAGGCGTCGCACGCCACGCCGCAGACGCCCGTCGCCCTCTGCCTCCTCCAGCTCGTCGAGATCGCCGGCCGCTCCGCGCCGGTGTTCATACCCCACAAGCTCCGCCGGAGCGCCTCGTCCAGGATCGGGCCGACGTCGTCGGCCAGCGCGCAGTCCACCGACTCGGACCGCATCATCAACGCCTTCCTCCAGTACGAGCAGCGGCACCCGGAGGGCGCCGTGTCCATGCAGTCCTTCACCACCATCTCCCCCTACTCCTCCATGCACGACGAGGTGTGCCGCCTGGCCGTCGACAAGCGCACGTCGCTCATCCTCCTCCACTACCACAAGCGGCACATGCTGGCCGGCGGCATGCGCGCCGCCATGGGGCTCCGCGTGGTGAACCGCAAGGTGCTGGAGGTGGCGCCGTGCTCCGTGGGGGTCTTCGTCGACCGCAACGCCGGGAGCGTGGGCCTGAGCGCCTTCATCATGCAGGACCACCCGGCGTCGTCGTCGTCCGGCGGCCGCCTCGGGTTCCACGCGGCGGTGGCGGCGCTCTTCTTCGGCGGCGGCGACGACCGGGAGGCCCTGGCGTACGTGACGCGCATGGCGCGGCACCCGGGGTCGAGGGCGGCCGTGATCCGGTTCCTGCCGACCCGGGGCATCAAGGACGACCCGGCGGACCGGCGGGTGGACAACAAGGCCATCGAGGAGGTGAAGGCGCTGGCGGCGCGGAGCAAGTACATGAACCTGCAGGTGCAGGAGGAGCTGGTGGGCGACATGGAGAAGATCGTGGAGGTGCTGAGGGGGCTCGACAAGGCCGGCTACGACCTGGTGATCGTCGGCATGCGCCACAGGTGGTACCCGGTGATGTCGGCCAACGGGCTGTCGGACTGGAGCGAGTGCCCGGAGCTGGGCGTCATCGGCGACCTGCTCGCGTCGTCCGACTTCGACACGCCCTACTCGGTGCTCATCATGAAGCAGCAGGACCAGGGCGGGCTCAACGCCGCCGTGCCGGGCGCCCAGGACGTGTGGCACGGCGACGACGGTGCCGCGGCGCCGACGCCGGAGCGGGTAATGACCACCGCCGTGTCTAGCAGATACCGGCAGTAGGCCGGCGTGGGGACGAGCAGCGCTGACGTGATCTTGACCTTTGCATCTGTAGATGTTGACCTGTCTAGTTCCTAGCATCACTCCTAGCATACCTGATGATTCAGATAGACATTTTTCAGTTCATCGCTTCGCCGTTCGTATATGTTGTGTACAGTATTGTACAGCTCCGCTGTAATTTTGTGCTTAGCTACTCTTATACTTATAAACAAAGATACGATAGTGATCACAACGGTTTCGTGGTGTAGTTGGTTATCACGTCAGTCTAACACACTGAAGGTCTCCGGTTCAAACCCGGGCGAAGCCATGTACTTTTTTTTCCTTTTTCTTTTTGAAAAGAAACTTACTTTTTTCCTTTTTCTTTTTGAAAAGAAACTTCAGAACATATACTAGATACATCCGCGTATCTCGACGAACCTAAGACAAGAATTTTGGACCATGTTTGGAACATATAATCCATTCTTAGCAGTATCATGGCAGCCCGTGATACAGAATGAAATCAAGGCGAGGCAGTAACTAATCACCGACTTGTCATAATCGTTGCTGCTCAGAGCTCACACCAGGCTGGAGGCGTCAGATTCAAAGATTACTTTGGTCCACTGCAGGCTGGAGGCGTCAACAGCAGCAAAGCAAGCCACAACTTCAGATTGCAGAGTCTCTCTCAGGTCTCTCCCGGAGTACACCCCAACCGAATACAACCAATGTGCGGCACATGAGTGATTCCAGCAGCATCAGAGAAATGTGTGCTGCAAAAACTAGATAGTATGGGCAGTCATACTCATACTGCCATGAGATAGGTTATTACTATCACTCTGGGAGCCCTAGGGTTTCAAAGGCGACCCTTGGTTCAGGTCAACTTTCATGCATGAATACAAGCCCCAGTACAAGGCACTGAGGATGACAGGAGCATGTCCAATTGTCTGCAGTGGAAATAAAACATATACTTACTACTTTTCATTCATAAGCCAACAGTTAAGGAAGAGGGACAATCTGCAGTGGAAATAAAAAGTCGCAAGGTGTTACTCGAAACATAAACCTAGAGTTACCAGTGCATCGCATGCCTCAAGAACAATGATTTCTACTATAAGAAGAAGAAAAAAAGTCCAGAATGCTGTTGAGGAGCCTACCCTTTTAACTCAATGAATCTGTATTAGGGGAGATTTAATCAGTTCCCAGAAGTTCCAAGTTTTCTAGGAGCTCCAACGTCTGCTCACTATTGCTGGCGTGAGAGGGAAACCAGGCGCCATCTTTTACACACGGTACACAAGGGACATACATCAGGTAAAAGAAACATGAGTAGACAAACAAAAATGATTCCAGCAGGAACTTACAATGAGATTTTTTGTCAAGCAGAGAAAACTGAGATGGTAAACGTAAACGTGATCTATTTCTGGCCTTATGCGACATGTACTTATATAAAACGAGGCGACAACAGTCAACAACGGTTTCGTGGTGTAGTTGGTTATCACGTCAGTCTAACACACTGAAGGTCTCCGGTTCAAACCCGGGCGAAGCCAATTTATCTTCTTTTTACAACTTTAAAGTTATAAAAGATTGGCCAATGGTCTCAAAACTCCAGAATATTTAGCTTCTCGCAGCATCCTTTTTGCCCAATGACTAATCTAATTCTTGCTTTACAACAATCAAGATCGAGTTAATCCCCTAATCCAAACAATGTGAACTCCTGAGTGATTTCAGGAGCATCAGTGAAGTGTGTGCTGCAACTACCAGATAATGGGACAGTCAGATACTGCCATGAGATAGGTCATATGGCATATGGTTGCTGGATACAAATTGAGTTTTCAAATCTGCTAGTTCTGACTTCTGAGAGGTGCAAATGTTGAGATTCAATGAGTTGTCGAGATTCTGGATCACTGCAGTAAGTTTATCAGTAACTTTCATGAGTAATTAGCATTAATAAACACAACCTGATAGAGCACTGCGGTACCGGAAACTGTGATGTCTGGTAGTGGATACTCTGCTATTCAGCATCACTCTGGGAGCCATAGGGTTTCAAAGGGAACACCGAACACTTAGTTCAGGTCAACTTTCATGCATGAGCCTACAAGCCCCAGCACAAGGCACTGAGGATGACAGGAGCATGTCCAATTATCTGCAGTGGAAATAAAACATATAAACTTCATTCATAAGCCTACAGTTAGGGAAGAGGGAGCATGTCCAATGATCTGCGGTGCAAATAAAAACTCACAACGTGTTACTCAAATAATAAACCTACAGTTACCAGCGCATTACATACCTCAGGAACAAGGAGTTCTTTAAGATGGAAAAATCCATAATACTGTTGAGCTGCATACGCTTTTAACTCCTCAGTTCAACTGTATTAGGGGAGATTTAATCAGTTCCCGGCAGTTCCAAGATTTCTAGAAGCTCCAACTTCTGCTCGCTGTCGCTGACATGAGAGGGAAACCAGGCCCCATCTTTCACGCACGGTAGACAAATCGCATACATCATGTAAAAGAAACATCAGTAAAACAAACAGAAATGATTTCAGCAGGAAGTTACAATGAGAAATTTCGTTAAGCAGAGAAAACTGAGATGGGATGGTAAACGTAAACTAGCACACACAAATAATAGGCTTAACTAGCAAATTTAGTGCAAAGGGGACAAGTATTTGCTCACTGTGTAACTATTCCTGGTCCTAGGCCATAACAGCATCATGCCCTAACTGCCGAACAAATTTATTTCATGGGAAATGAAAATTACGTAACACTGAACCTATAGGACCACGCACTGGACAAGTATGACAGTTTGTGTATTTGACTGCTGGCAGCTGCACTGGACACGAGTCTATGATAGGCCTAAATGATATCCTAATAACTACACCTCAGCAACTGCCGTTAACATAAATGGACCTGTGTGAACAAGGTATTCTGTGGCATCTAATTTTCTTTCATGGAAGTTACTGGGTACCATATGAATTTTGGAAAAATGTACAATGCACAATGAAGTTCCTCACTACTGAGTTTTTAGAGCATTTACCAGTTTTTAATGAAAGTTAAAGTGAATCTTAAAACAAAAGCAAAATATGAATGGAGCACTGGGGATACCACCTTACAAAAGTATCAACAACTTAACAGAAAAAAAAACAGCCACTGCTTGATATTTCAGATAACAAAACTAAACCCTGTAAAGTGAAACAGACAAAGTCCAACATCCCGAGCCTGGACTACGCATTCCCGCAGAATAAGAGCAACTCCAACCGGGTGACCCATTTCGTCCCCACGTCCGTTTGGGTCGCCGCGGACAAAAACGCTGGTCCAACGCGCTGACACATTCCCAAAAAACCGCCCGCTTCGCGTCCGCGCGGACCCATTTCCGGCCCAAAATTGCGCCTGAAATGCGTGTGCGCGGACGCGCCGCGCGTCCCCTCGGTGTCCGCCGCGGCCCCGCATGTCGGCCGCCCAACTATCGCCCGCGGTCATATTTATGACGACCACCGACACCGGGCCTGCCTGGCAGTGTGTAGAAGAGCCGCGTGCCCATCCTTTTTAATGTACGCGTGTGGTGGGTCCGGCCTCATCCACAACCCCCGTCCACATCTGGCCACCTTTGCTCCCTCGCCGGCGACTAGGAAACCCTAGTCAGCCAGCCAACACCAAACCCTAGCCAGCGAGCAAGCATCCAACCAGCCATGGTATTCTTCAACGAGAAGGGAGGGAAGAAGGGGAGGTTCAGCGCCGGAGCAAGCTCTTCCCGCGGGTACCCTGCTACATCACCGCCGGCTAGACGCGGCACGCCTCCGGTGGAGCGGGAGCGGTTGTACATCCCAGTCCACCAGGCACGGTGGCACTGGCAGTACCGCTAGCCCGTGCCATATCCATATGTGAACTTGCCGCACGGCTGGCATCTGGACCTGCAGCGCATCCCCATCCCGCGCCGCGGTCCGCACGGGCGCACGCTGAGGAGGTTCGCCGGCGGCGCGAGTTCCTCACACCGGAGCAGCGCGCCATGCGTGACTACACGCCAGACACCCCCAACTGGGAGCGCTGGTTTGCGCTAGAGCACGAAGAGGAGCGCTGCCTCGGCGCGTCCATATCAACGATGACCTTCCACCGCCGCCCCTGCGGGTACAACTGGAGGAAGAGGAGGCGGAGGCGGAGTACCAAGCCGCCCTCAAGGAGGCCCTGCAGCACGCGCTGGAGACGAGCCAACTCGAGGAGGACACCCATTGGGATGGGCTGGAGCAAGCCCTAGCTTTGTTCGCGGCGGGGGACTCCATCCAGGCGCCCCTGTTCGTGCTGCCACCGCCACCGGCGCCGCCCCTCGTCGAGCCCAAGGCCGAGCCAGAGCCGGAGCGCGAGGCAACGCCCACGCGGAAGCGGTCACCACCCCCCCCTTGGTCGGAGGAGTCCTATTCGTGGACCGGCCATCTTTCGCGAGTAGGTGAGTGCGCCTCCGTGCTACTTCGCCTCCACGCTGGAAGAAGAGGCGGCCCACCTTGAGCGCTGGAAGGCGCATTGGCTCGTCGAGGAGGGAGCCAACGACGAGTGGAAGATGCAATATGAGCAGCTGCTGCGCCGCGACGAGGAGGCTCTGCGGCTTGAGGAGGAGGAGCGCGCCCGCCTCGCCGCTATGTCGCCGCCGCAGCTGACGCCGGAGGAGGCTGCCCTGGCGGCCTCTCAAGCCACGTTCGGTTGGGCTGGGCCTCCCCCCGTCTTCATTGACCTCACCGGCGGCGACGACGACGATGACGACAAGGGCAAGGGCAAGGGCAAGGCGGTCTACTAGGGCAGCGTGCGGGCATTTATTTAGAGTTTTTAAATTTTTTATTTATGTTTAAATGGACTTTGGGCGGTGTTTGGCCGGTCATTTATGTATAATTATGCTTAATTATTAAGTTTCGGCCACGTCGGCAGAAAATGGGTCGGCCTCCCGTTGGGTGCACCTGCCAACCCAAATGAAAAACCGGACGTGCACATCAGCATGCGTCCGTTTGGGTCGGCGCGTTGGAGTTGCTCTAACTGCGAAGATGTGACCAGTTC